AAAGAGGGTGTGTCATTATGTGCTAGTTAGTGGCGAATTAGCCAAGGAGGGGGTGTGGAGTCATATAATTTTCATCTCATCTTTGTTTGTGAACTAAAATGTCCAAAAAATGTTTGCCCAGTCCTTATTCACATTTTTATCTCGTCTTCATTAGTCCACAAAGATGCATACCGATTTAGTGCCAGTTATTGCTTACTAATGCGGGTTTTAGTCTGTCTGGTCGACTTTTCATCTTCTGGCATCATTTCCAGCAGAAGATTCTTGAAAAAAATAATAATTCTCTTTCCAAAATTTGACCAGGGGATTAATGATCATCAGCTTAGCTTTATCTAAAGATGGAATCACAAAAGGGGATACAGTCATCAGACCCGGTGTGGTTTGCATTTGGAATCATTTAAAAAATAGATGCAAAAGGAATTTACTGTAATTAAGTAGTGTGTTCACATTGCTTTTACGAAAAGTTTGTCATCTCTCATCACACCTTTGTGTCCTCTGGAGTCTGCGAGGTAAGAAAAGAATGCACCCATCTTAAGAGTCTTATCATGTTCTGTCCTTTGATGCCCTGTGGGGCTGAATGCCCCCGATTGTGAACCTATGACACTCCTTAAAGCTCCAACGAGTCACACTTTTGTCTTTCCCTCTGGTGATGTACAGTATATTCTGCAATTTTTTTTTTTTTTTGCCCCATAGGGGACAGTGCATTTTATTGTTGTCTTTTCTAGTCAGACTGTTCATGAAATCTGAACTTGAACTGGTCATCAACTCTTGAACCAAGAGGCAATGAAAATTCATTTGAAAATTAGACGCACATGTGTGCAAACATCAAATAATGAATGCATACGAGTACATTTTAGGGTGGTTTACCTGAGGCTAATCTGAAGGCATCTTTAGTCCGGATGTGTTGATGGAGTGCATCTAGCATTATCGACCCCTAGGTATATGTTTGTGAGTGCTGAAGAACACCTAATATACTGTAAAGTTGAGATTTATTTGCGTTACTAGAAAGTCATATCTACTGTGTGTTGCCAGACTGCGGGTCATTCCCATGCTAGATAACAGCAGGAATCTGGTTCCAAACCGTAGCCTTCTAGTTTACTTTAGATCACAGTGTATCGAGGACCGGGGGTTTTCAACACATGTTAAATAATGCATCTAAATGTTAACCTGCGTAAAACAACTTTTAAAGGAAGCCTAGTGGTTATTGTTATCTTTTTATGTTATTTTTGTTCAGTGTCTATTCTTTCTATCAATCTTTTGTAGAATCCAGCTTTAGTGGCATAAAAATGACAGCAAAGTTTATGTACATACAGGTAGTCTACACAGCATGTAAGAATACGTGGCACTCATTTCCCAACAAATTTATTTTTCATCCATCCATCCATCCATCTTCTGATCCGCTCTATCCTCACAAGAGTCGCTGGAGCCTATCTCAGCCGTCTTCGGGCAGTAGGCGGGGGACACCCTGAACCGGTTGCCAGCCAATTGCAGGGCACACAGAGACCAATAACCATCCGTGCTCACACTCACACCTAAGGACAATTTAGAGTGTTCAATCAGCCTGTCATGCATGTTTTTGGAGTACCCGAAGAAAACCCACGCAGGCCCGGGGAGAACATGCAAACTCCACACAGGTAGGCCGGAACCGGGATCAAACCCACAACCTCTGCACTGTGAGGTCGACGCGCTAACCACTGGATCACCGGGCCGCCCATTTATTTTTCATTGGACTATTTTATTAATTAAATCGCCTAGCTATCTTTTTTATAATATTTGCTCTGATGTTTTTGTATTCGGTCACTAACCTTTGCTCTAGTAAGTTAGTGATCCACATTCCGAATTGAATACAAATTTGGTCGAAGTTGCATTATATTTGCAAAATAATATTACAGTATATTGTCATCCATGTGTCAGAAGTGGTCTTTACATTTTAACGATACATATATTCCTATTTGGCACGCCTCACTACCATAACAAGCTTAGCAAGGTGTGTGTTTCTTGGAAGTTTTTTTCAGTTACATAGATTCTGATCTTTGCGTCCTGCAGGTGTACTGTACCATCGATACTGAGAGAATATAAACGTGTTGTGAGTATACTGTACATTCTGAATGACTCTGCGAATCCCTATCCCAACAAGACTCTGTAAATTAAATGTGAACGTCCTAGTTATTATCTTTCAGCTCCATCATTTGAACGCCTCATATCTGCGCGCATGATAGACAACAGCCCCTTAACCGCCCGCAGTAGAATGCTAATAATGCAGAGCATATTTTTCAAAATACAGTTTTATAGAAGAAAAAAAAGTGAGTGATTCCTTACTTGATGATGTACTCTCTACATTTTGACACAATGATGTCCATGCATCTAAAGGGAGATAAACTGAGCCTGTGGTTTCTAAAGTGGAAGCGTTCAGGTACAGCTCTATAAATATCATCATCTAAAAATGAACCAAAGAAAAGACACTCTCTACTGAACAGTAGAAGATGAGGTCTATTTTTGTGCATCTGGTTTTAAAACATCTTCAAAACATCAGAGGCTAATGCGGATAAAGACACAACACAGTGTTCTACATCTTGACTTGTAGTTCACTTCGCATGGAAAGATAGATGCACAGGTCAGGAGTAGAGTGGAGTGAAGTGCCACACACACATAGTCTGTCCTCATCTATAAACCATGGCGACGTTCCCATTATCTACAGTATCCAGTTCAATATTTCACTACGCTGCGGAACATGTCTCAGCAGAGAGATGCTGGTCAACAGATCGGAGGGGAGTGGTGGAGGGGCTGTCAAATGAAGGCACACACACATCTTAATTATGACACCACTTTCAATCGACAAATTTCTGCCATGTGTCAAGCAGCAGGAGCAATCCACTCTCGGACAGCCCCCCCCCGCCCCTGCTCCCCACCCGCCTGTGATTTATAAGTTACAAACAGACTGCCTCTCAATCCTGTCAAAAAGAGAAAGCCGAGGTTTGTCCAGGCGAACACGAACACATGGTTGCTTTTCTGTATTTTCAGAGTTCAACCTTGAAAGGACCACATGAGATTTTCTTGATCCCGCTTAAGTCCAGTTCGAAGCTGCGGCGGCGCCAGCCTGCTGAGCGCAGACAAGCTCTTTGTTTGTCTTTCCATTGTCATTGTCACCGTGTTGCACGCAGTTCAAATCACACGACCAAGAACAACACACCAGCATGCTGCGATATAAATACTTTATGGTTGAAATAAAATAAAAACACCATCAATATTTCACAAACACACTGTCTGAAGGAGACAGTGAAGTTGAAAGATGTGGACTCTAAATTGGCATGCTTTCGCTTTGCAAATTCGACATGAATAGGCATCAGAATCCAGTTTAACTTAGTCTCATGACAGTTTGGTTGTTCTATTCGGATCGCAAGCCAATTCAAACTATTTGCAAAAGAAAGACAATAAAAGTAATCAAAGTAACATTTGCACATTTCACTCCATACGAGGCGGCTATTGTTGACCGTGCTGAGGGGATCAACAATGCAGCAGATCTGGTGATGAATGTCTTTTTGAAAAAAGGACACAGAAGCTGCAATGCAGCCTCACTGTAATGGAAATTAGACACGTTCAGTAACCAGATGTAAAAGGAGATACAAGGATTTGAAAAATGCATGTACACGAGGACCCGGTGTGCACGAAACACACAGAGAGCAAATAAACAACAAAAGGTCACAGGCAAACAACGCTGACAGCTGCAGTATTAGCCGGACATCTGAAAAATCTATCAAGTGCATGGACACTTCTATAAATATAAACATTTGACATGTAAAGCCCAGGCCGGGCTGCTTTCATGGCTCATGCACAATGTGGTACTGAGAGTTTCACATTCATCAAACATGTAATACCAAAACATTCGCGCAAAGTCCAGATTTGTGACGCAGTCGAGTATAGAGTAGCATGCATAAAAGGAGAGACTGCTGGCTGCAAATTAGCACACACATCTCGAAATGAGAGATGTGCTGATGCTGGCCTTTTCACAGGTAGCCTATATTAGCATGTCAACCTATATGAAATGTTGATTTTTTTTTTTTCACAGAATATACAGCTGGGCAAAAAAAGTATTTGGAAATCCAACCATTGCGCAAGTTGTCCCACGTAAAGGGATACGTGAGGTCAGTCATTTGTCTGTCAAGGTACACTTCAACTGTGAAAGACAGAATGTAAAAAGGACCAAAAAAATGAAATAACTAATTCTTATATTTGTGTATATGATGCAAACCATACACTCAGTGCTGGTTGTGTATTAAACATGATGGACCCGTCCTGCGCATTCGAGCCTCTGGGACTCAGAACCACACCGTCACGGATATTGCGCTTGATCGTCAGAAAATTTAGCAAGACTTTGTATATGGAGACAAAAATGTCTCTAATTTTACAACATTTTCAATTCTGGAAAAATTCAGGGTCTCTCGTGGCCGCCACGAAAATAATGTTAATGTAGCACAACAGAAGCAAGCTGACTGCTGATTTAAAAGTTGACTAAAGGGTTGTTCACACGGCACACATTTGCATCGATGCTGCACCGACGTATTTTGTTGCAATATATCTTACACCAGTATAAATTTTGTGGAGCGTTCACACGTAAAAAGCTGCTTATTAAAGAGAAGCGTGTTAACCCCGGTGCAGCACCACTTGCGTTCACACGGCAGTTTTTGCGGCCATGCAATATGATAAAACATGCGCATGCGTAATGTGTACTTCCTTTTCCTCGCCTTGTTAGTGACATATCGAAAAACCATGATTTATACTTCTCCAGACAAATCAACGCTGTGGTCTATCAGACACCGTAAAAGGATGAGAGAAGAGAGAAAGGAAAGATGACGGAAGTAAAACAGAGCATGAAAGCACTGCATTCAATACCCGTATGTAATCAACTCTTCTCATGCGTAGCGAGTCTACCCCCTGTAGCGTTCACACGTCCCATTTTATATCGGTGCTGCCTCGCAAACTAGCATTTACTCTGGAGTACATTTTTAAACCACCTTTTATTTTTTATAACGTTGGAATATACAGCTTGTTAAAGAGCTAAATCTCAAATGTGTGTTCAGAAATCGCTGGCCTTATTTCTGATGGATTCTAAATCAATGTTATCTGTGTTATGTGCTAAACTATTTCAGTCTTTGTCAATAAAGTTCATAGGTTGCAGTCCGAACACACAGACTGATGGCCTTTGCAGAAACCATTAGTAGCTGTTCATTGCGCGGCCCGGCTTGGCACTGCCAATGGCAAAAATCGAAATTGGCTGCGAGCACGCATCAGCAGGTATTCCAGCAGTTCCGCAATCTCTGTGAAATACGCACACATACACACGCGCGCACACTGCATGACATGGAGGAACCAATCGGATGAAGTGTGGAGTGGGAGACTCATCAGTCAAGCGATAGAGGCCAGTGGAGGTCTACTGGAGCAGCGCTGCTTGTTACAGCTGCCATTAGAGCAACACAGACCTGCAGTTGGGGGGCTGCCAAGGTGAGTAATGTCTGCCTTTTACACTTTCTGTCCACTAAAAAGAACTGTCTGATTCAGTCTCATTTAACAACAGCAACAAAAAAAAACATCTAAAAGCACATTTACAGTAAATGTTGCTTTATCTTCGGAGAGCTAAGGTGGAGGTGCTCAAGGATAAAATGATGGCGTAGAAATAAAAGTTCCATTTAGAGCTAAAGTTTTCCCTGAAAATACCAACATTTCACTTCTGGTTTATATGATCACACCTGAAGAAAAGTTCCTGTGTTTGTCTGGTTCAGCCTAGCTTGAGATGCCTGTCCTGGCTGTAGAACAGCACCTGGAGGAGAATGGCCACATCAATGAGGATCTGGACAGAACCACACGCAGAGAACTGAGATGGGCTTTGGTTCATCACAAAGTAGGACGTCTTGAAGATGTCTCCGGCCGTCCACAGCAGCACCATCTTCACACTGGAGCAAGGAGACACAAAAAGAGAAGCATAGTCCATACCGGGTGATACAGATGATCACAGCATGGCATCACGGCAGATATGGGAGCGGGAGTTAATGCTTCGAGGTGCCGATCGCCACTCCCGCTTTCAACTACGCTTTAATATGATCCATCTAGTTGCCATGGTAACCCTCCCTCGATGGACCTCGGTGAACCTTCATTGCTGTATGTATGTTTAGGTTGAATAAATTAGTTTTGTAAAGAAACTGCAAGAAAAGGACTGGAAAAACAACTGAGCACAGACACGCTCCCGAGTTCATACCGTTAACGACACGATAAACTATACAATCTATAATGTGAAGACACTTGTGTTTGCTCATATTTGCCAGAGTGTATTGAACATATAATGTACTCCACTTTGCCCATAAACTGCATGAAAAGAGCCTCCAGTAATCTGCAGGGCAAGCAGCCTGATGCAAGCACAGCGGTCGGAAGGAAACACTCAAGAAAGAGTCGAAAACATATATACATACATATATATCTTGCATCATGACTTCACATACGTCCACTTCCCCCATTTTTTTTTTTTTACAAAGTGTGTCATCTTAATTGTATCTCATTCCTTGTTTCACTTCAACTTTGTTATGTTCATGCTCCCCTTCACTCCTTTCCATTCAGTGTCCGTCTGACCTCCCTTACTGTCATGTTTCTTTACTTTGTTACCCTTCACACCCAATTCGTCTTACCTCACTTCTGCTCCAGCAACTCTGCTCCTACTCTTCTCCACCCCGACCCCCCCTGAGAGTGACTACCCAATGGCATGAATGGAACATGAGTTGATACTTTTTATTAGAGCTGACTGTGCCCGGGAGAGAAAGTCCATCAGTCACCAAGTAGATATATTGCGGGGGTCTCACAGAGGTGGGGGAGAAAGGAAAGTCAGAGGACAACATCTCTCCAGCGTGCAGTGGCACAGCCAGAAAACCACCAGAGAACGAGATGAGAATGATACGCATGATCAGTCTATCTGGGTTGGGAAGCAGCCTAATGACCATTGGGATGTATGGACTGTACTATCCTTGAGCTGTCCTTGCAGAGTCATGTCAAACTCGCATTTCTCCCCTGGGGTCCCTTAAGGCACTCGCAAGGAACGGAAGCATTGGCAAGGAAATGACGATCACGTTACACGCATCCATACAGGATGTGGGTCAAGACAAAGCGAGTGCTGAGTCGATCTGCTGCTTACTTGGTCATGCTGACTGTAATGGCTAATTGTGACAAATATTAGGAATTCGAAAAGACAATGTTTCTCAGATTCATTTGTGAGTAAATGCAGAGAGGCTGCTGTTGCGCCAAAATGTCAAAAAGGGAAAAATCTAAAATGTTAATGAACAAGTCAGCACGCATCATTGCAATACCAAGAAGCCATACAAATACATCCCCGATAAGTCTGCGAGTCTAAGAGCCGTGGTTTTCATGCGATACCATGATTGTGAGAATGCTTGTCTCTTTGCAGTCACATCATGAATATCTGGCATTACTTTGGGTTGCCAGTGCCCAGGCCGAGTCATGACTCGATTTGCACTTCAACAAAAGAACCTGTAATACAACATAATAGTTAGTCCACATGATAAGTAGTATGCCTTTCTCACCTTTGGGGGCCCCCATACTTCTACTTATGTTAAGCAAAGCAATAATGTGCCAAATAAACAGGAAATGGCGTGTGTCACAAACCAGTCACATTATATTCGTATGTGGAATGGCGCTTCATTTGGTTTATTCGAATAAACTCAATGCACATCGAGTAGTAGGCAGGGTCTCTTAAATAGAGAGGTGAGGAGGAATTGAGTCATTAAAAAAAACAATGGCCACTATTGTGACTACATTTTAACTTTCTCTTTAAAAGAAAACAAACAAAAAAAAAAAACACCATCTAATTTTTGGAACTAGTCCCCCCTTTTAGACAATCGGTGTGTTTTCCACTGTGCTGATTCAAGCACGTATGTTTGACAATGCCAAAGAATGACAAAAGACTAATGTTGGCGTCTTTTTCAAAGCTACCATTGTATATATACATGGATGGAGTTGATTATTTCTCAGGGTTGTTTCGTCAGGAGGCTTTGTTCTTCAAAGATTACATCGTCTTTGAACTGATTTCCGTTACAAGCGCGATAACAGTCTACCGTAAGCAAGAGGTGGCAAGCCGCTAACAAAACAAACGCAATTTTCTTCAACGCATGCCATCTGCCTTCATTGTCCTCTACCTCCGGTTTCTGCAGCAGGCATTAGTCAGTCATTCTGCTTCATCCGCCTGCGCCCAAGGCTGCAGAGGAGCACTTGTTTAGAGCACATAGGATTCTCACTGACTTTCTGCTCCCTTAACAATTTAAACTTTTGGGGTAAACACGGCAGCTTTTTACTGGAGCTGCTCCAAATTGGTAAAAAACAGAAATCTGACTCCTGATACTTCTGCTTCTACATACTTTTAAAAATCTCATTTAGAGCTATCTTGTACCTGATTTTTGAAATGCTATACACAGCAATTTACAAACATAGCTCATATATACGTTGGAAGTTGCTTGTTTTTGTATTTGTATTGCATTTTTATTGATGTATTTATTTATTTGACAAGAAGTATTTATTTATTTGATAAAATGTCTTGTAAAGATTAAGTTTTGGGAAGAATAGCCTTTGATTGATGTGTCAGATTACATGCGATGTTCCGGTATATCACATGGCACCTAATACTGTCGAACCTTGTGTGAGCCATGATAATATTTGTGACGTACATTTATTTTACACGGAATCTCTTCTTTAAACGCTTAAATAATTACTCCTCTCCCTTTGTGTGATTTCATTGCTCAGGGGACAACCAGCACCATTATCAAGGACAACTCTTTAACAATGTAATTACAGCAGGCAGGGCATCTGTACAAGTATAATCTCAAATGCAGTGCAGCAGAAAAGGAACCAAACATCATTTTGAGGCCATTTCTCTTTGTCAGTTTATCATATTTTACTCTTTACTATTTATCAGCACGGTGATCATCCGGTTAATGCATCGGTCTCACAGTGCAGAGGTGCAGCGCTCGATTCCGGCTCCGGCCTTCCTGTGTGGAGTTTGCATGTTCTCTTCGTGCCTGCGTGGGTTTTAACCGGGTACTCCGGTTTCCACCCACATCACAAAAACGCTCATTGCAGGTTAATGGAACATTCCAAATTGTCCCAAGGTGTGATTATGAGCGTGAATGGTTTTTCGTCTATGTGTGTCCTGCAATTGGCTGGCAACCAGTTCCGGGTGTACCCCGCCTACTGTCTGAAGACAGCTGGGATAGGCTCCAGCGCGCCCATGACCCTTGTGGGTATACGTGGATTAGAAAACGGATGGATATTTATTATGCTAGTCTCATGGGAGATTCATAGTAGACCTTAATGGGGCTGAGCTGACAACTCATGAAAGACCCTGACAACAAATGATTGAATTTGGGCCAGAGCGATGCTTTGTACATGCAAACAGAGATGAAGTGATTACGGTTATGATTGAAAAGACTGAGTGACAACCATATCTTACATTAACACATATGCATCAGACAACAGACCAAGCGAAACCAAATGCGCAAACCATGAAATTACATACTAACATTTCATTCTCACCACAGTGTACACACACACATACACACACACACGTATAGGCAAACCCCATAGCTCAGCCTGGTCAAGTTGCTTTGATCGGACCGTCATCAGAGCTAAGCGCTGAGGAATGAGAGAGGAAAGGGTGAACTGGTGAACTGGGTACTTGAAGGATAGTTATAAAAAGAGCAGGTCCGTATTGGATGAGAGTGGATGGAGGTGAGGGGAAAATGGTGAGAGATGAGGGAGACTATAGTGTGTGTGTGTGTGTGTGGGGGGGGGGGACAATAAATCTTGAGAAATGTGAATCACAGAACCACTCTGATCGTTGGAGTGACAGGTCAGGAGAGAGCAACGGACAAAGTGAGGGAGGTCTGACTGTGCACCGTGAAGGGCTGCGCTGCATGCGGGTGACAAATATTGATTGGGGCTGTCAGGACAACTGTTAGCTCTTGGGCTCGGTTTGGGTGGATGAGAGGACAAAATGGGTTCCAAGTGGCGTTTACAAAGAGACCCAAATAATTACACAGTGGAGGAATTATACGGAATTTGCAGTTTACTCATTTCAAGTCTCCAATAGTCTACAACATATTTAAATATCAGTAAGACACTGAAAAACACTTGCGAATCAACATTGATAGTGGCTGACAGTCCACCCAGATTACTGAGAACTTTTGATGATACCAATAGGCTTTTTTTTTAGTTGATTCCCATCAATTATTGTCGTCTTATCGTCTCTTGTGCTGATTTTTAGAGTGTCCACTACCCAAGACATGCTTGGGTGTGTTAATGTGGTTTGTACGACAGCCAAATGGCCAAAATGTCCTTGATACCACAGCGCACTATGTGATGCTCCTTCAGTTTTCATCATTTCATGTTTGGACATCAAATGTTGAGTTTTGTAGTTCTGACAACACAAAAGAACAAACAAAATGATTTGTAATGGATGCAAATCTATCGTCACTTAACTGTTACGTAATGATGTCGAGATGTGAGCTTTGTTTACCTTGTATCGGAGAGAGAGATTTGGCAGTGAGCAACCAATTGATCATACTCTATACACCCTGGAGCCAATGTGCAGATGTTTCAAGCTTGAATCGCCGCTTTTTTTTTCCAGCTTCGCATGTGTGCGTCAGGACCATCAGTTCATGCATGCTTGTTTGTGCATCTGTCTCTATGCCCACACACAAGGTTGTGTGTAGCGACTTTAACAGCAACGGCTTTGCTCTTGCAGGACCGCTCGCAGGCCCACATACTATGAATAATGCATGTCTATTGATTGCACATGGGCAAATGCAGAAAAGTAACAATATGTGTATGATAATTGCTTCTACAAAATGAAATACAGGTTCGGTGAGGAGGTGTATCGGTCAGTTTGCCTGAAGTTATT